TATACCGTAAACGCAGTAGATTATTTTTGTATTGGCGGCGGTATCACTTAACATCAGGTGAACCCCCTGCGCAATTGCCGCCTATACTATTAAAAAAATCAATTTAAAAAGTAAAACGTGGATCATTTCTAAATAACGCGATATAAATTTCGGAATTTCGAATCCACAGAGGTCCTTATACCTATCTTTGTATGTCTCTGAGGCTGCAAAACTAACGAAGACACACCGCACGCTTATTACAACTCTCAAATGCATGCGCAAACACACCCATTCGCACACACACACATTCACGTATACTGAATGTATAAGACTTGTGTCTGATTAGTTGTAACAGTAAAAATACTTTTTCTCAAAAAAATGTTTTAAACATGTATTAATAATTATTGTTATCTATCAATACAGGGATAGATGAATTTTCTCACAACTTACTTGTCATAAATAAAGTTTTTATTATTATGATAATACTCCTACAACGCGGTTTCTATAACGCGAAACCAATCTACCGTGTTATGGGAGGAAATACATCTTGAATTTGTTGATCGCTCCCGCAATAAGTATGTTGTAACAGCACTGGCTCGTGCTAGAGCAAATACTTAACCGAAACTAAATTTATTCTTATCAACGCAATGTATTTTCATTAGAAAGCATTCTAAAGGAACAATAACACTAGATAGTGTCATTCTATGTTCTATTACATTGTTTATGTCTGGTACAAGTAACTGATGCTGTGGAATCGTTTTTGTATCGGTTTTATTAACTACTGTCAACATTCTCTTCTTTAGTCTATATTATTTAAAATGTTTATATATATTAAATGTTAATATGTATAAAATGAAATGTCTCATAATATAAAATTCACGCGTTATAAGTCGCGTTTATTTAATGAATACGAATTTTTCTGATTATGTTATTCATTAGATTATATATACATAGATAGAGTTATATATTTAAAATAATTTATAGTTAATATTTTTGTACACCCAATTTAACCTGAATTGGGAGCAGTTAAATACTAATAAACTATAAAATATTAATAACTAAAGCTGAAAATTAACGTTTATATATTGGTTGAAGCCAAATCATAGACAAAAATTTGTTCTTAAACTAAAACGAAAACTTGGATCCGACAAATTTTATAAAAATCGGGTTTTGGGTATGGAGTTTGGTTACAGGAGAATTATAAAAAAAAATCAGTGGCGCTACAACCTCTAGATCTGGGCCTCAGATTTCTGAATCTGTTTCATTATAATTTTTAAATCTTATAGTCAAGTAGGTGATCAGCCTCCTGTGCCTGACACAGGGTTGACAGTCGCATGCTGAAGCCGCTAGTACTCCCAATGTAGGTTCTAAGGCTGAAAATTAACGTTTATATATTGTTTAAAGTCAAATCATTAAAAAATTTGAATACTTGCGTGTGGGGAAGCGAAACTACAGTTAAAAAAATAACTAGCTAAGAGTATATTTTCTATTACTGTTAGTAATTACTAAGGTTAGGTAAACGATTGATTAGTGTACAAAAAAATAAATCCTCCATTTTCGAGGGATTGATCAAAATTTTTTGCATACGGTTGGTTAGTCGACTTATCTAGACTTATTTTGTATTTGCGTGTTGTTCCCACGAGAATGTAAGTGCGTGCTCCTATTTCATCATGCCTCCTGCTGAAAGAGGACAAATCTTTGTTTTTAATTTATATTATTATTATTAATCACTTAAGATGTCATGTGGAACATGGTGTAATGGTTGCAGCTTCTTACAAAAATTGTGTAAAACAAAAAACTTGGAGATTAAAAAGAGTGGTGGAGAGTTTATTGCCAGTTCTTCTCTTCCGTTCCACGCCCTGGATTTGAGAACTAGGAGTAAATGTTAAATTAGATATATTTCTTTCTTTTTTGACGTTCATAAGTGTACATTGTGTTACCTATATGAATAAATGATTTTGACTTTGACATCAAGAAAAGAGCGTACCGATTCTTAAAAGTCCGGCAACGCACTTGCGAGCCTTCTGGCTATGTCTCTTGTCTGTGTTGTCTAGAAGGACCCTAAGTCGAATTGGTTCGGAAATACTTCAGTGGGCAGCTGGTTCCACATAGTTACATGTACTTAGTAACAAATGTAAAACGTTTAGAACAGTTAAATGCATAATAAAGTTGCGGACTAAGAATACAATATAAACTGGGACATTTTAATTGCATGGATTGTAATACCAATTGTGGCGGGGCATTGCGAGGCATTGCAAAACAAATAAGATTTTAAAACTGCATGTGCAACGTCGACATTGTCTTTTTACAGTCTGCTCGAGACAGTTTAAGCCTATTGAATATAAAACTATTTGTAGCTAAGAGCAGACACATGAGGAAATTTTGTTTTATATTTATTTCTTATAAGCAATAGACATATTTTAGTCGCAGCTATTAGATACATCTACTTACTCAACAAAAATCCCACGAAATCTAGTTTTTAACTTCTAACTCGTAACGATTGACATTGATTTGTTCGCTGAGTGTTAGGACAGCAAGGATAGCTTTGACACAAAATTATTTCAACCATGATGAATGAAGTGCATTGATAACCTTTCATTGTCAACTAACTAAATTCTGTTTTTTTTCTTTTGTTTTACACTAAAAATATTTGGCATGTTTACCTTCTTGTTTTATGAAAAAAAAAACTATATGTAAGGATTTGTAATTGGCCTACAATGTTATATACCTATATAAATATATTTATGTATTGTGCTGTGAATCTTCTGAATAAATAAATAAAATAAATAATTTTAATTTTATTTACTATACACCTTGACACAAGAATTGATTACTTACTCTATGTATGTTATTTAAAGCTGGCGGCTTCAACACATTTACACTTTGTGCTTGTGTAGTGTCTGTGAATAAGCGCGAGGCGTGATGTCAAACTGAAATACAATCACAAATACATTATGAAAAGACTTCCTCTCTCTGCCTCGGTCAAGCTTATGAGTATAAAAGAGACAGTTATTGTTTTGCTTTTGCTACTGTTTATGTTGATCTTTCTATACATGTTGATCTTTTTTCAAACATTACCAGGGCAATCTCGTGAAATGGTGCACAATGTTTTTAATTATTTTAAGCATCTTAATAAAAACAGTTTAATGAAAAAATGTTATATTTCATTTGACATCAGATGAGAAAGCTGAAAGTGATTTGATTTTTTGTTTTGTTGAAAGCTGGGTTCACCACCATACTCCTGAATCAAAGCAACAGTCCAAACAATGGAAAATATCTGGATCACCTACTCCGAAAACGGCTAAGGTCGTTTTGTCGACCAACAAAGTCATGGCTAGATGGAGCGTATGTTGAAAAATGAAAAATTATTTACACGAACTACTCTTTCACGTTCTTGTCTGGCGGAACTTTTGGATCCACCCTCGTATGCACCTAATATTTATATGTATTTGACACATTTTTATTTATTTACAACCCTGGGTGGGTTACCTTACTAAAACCAGAGTGACTAAAATATATAGTTGGCAAAAAAATCATATTTTGAAAATACTGTATGTGAAATTATTAGTGTGAGTATGTGAACCGATTTGATAAGCTATACTAACTTTTACTAATATTATTATTATTTTCTACTAAGTATTACATTCCTTTTCGTTCTTTTTTTGCGACTGAGGCGCAAACTTGCTGCTGTGGTCTCTGGCAGAATGACCAGCGCTGTGGAACTTTTTGCTCCTCAGCATAATGCTGAGCCAGGGCCAATTACAACCACACACATTACACACTTGAAACGAACCGAATGGGAAATGGGAAAAATTTCTCATTATATTTTTTTCTTTGATTATTGTTATTTTGTTTGTGTGTTTTTGTTAGTAATAAATGTTGTCTATGTCTATAACATTTATTACATACAAAACACACAAAATAATAATAATCTAAAAAAGAATGCGAGATAACAATTTTTTTCTTTTAAAGAACACTTTTTAAGTGATATACCCATGGGCACTCAAATTTCCAGAGGGCTCGCTAGTGCGTTGCCGGCCTTAAACTTTTCACGGTAGGTACTATGAATAAAACGTGAAACAAAAATAAATTTTGACAAATTTAGATATACCTATTCAATTATTAAAAAAGGTTGTTTCGGTTCTCTAGGGGCAGATAGACGCAGCTGCCTCTATCTGCCCCCAATTGGACTATGACGTAACATGTTGCTCGACAATAAATAATTTGTATCGGCTCACTTGTTGCGGTGTTCATCGTCCGATGTTATCTGCATAATGCGGTTTCCGCGCCAACTTCACAGTACTAGATTTGCATTTTAAACAAATCCGTTATATAAGGGCCTCATAGCCTAGCGGTCTTATTAAGTGGCAGGTAGGTGAGGGATACCGGGTTCGATTCCCGGTTCGAGGGCAAGTTTTAATTTAATTTAAATTTGTTCTCGGCCTTTGGGAGGGTTGTGCGGTACCGGGCGAGTGCTTAAACCGTACATGGAGGGCACGGTCGAATTTCTAAGGCAAGCAGTGAGTATTCTACCTAAGAAAGGAGACTGTGAAGGTTTAGAACGTAGCAATACGTTCTAGGCCGAGGATGGCAAATTACAAGTGCGAATTATAAAAATCTTATACTTGACGCTGGCTAATGCACAAACCGTGCCCGAGCCATAAAGGAAAAAAAAATCCGTTATAAATTTACCGCCCAATTATTATATTCCAAACAAAGCCCATTATTTACACAAGGCCGCGTATTTTGCATGAATTAATATTTGTATTGAAATTGAAACTTTTTGAAATTGTATTCTGCGATTTTGAATGCGAAATGTCATCTTCGTTCGCTCTAGTTCGTGCGGTATTTAATAAAATGTGAAAACGATTTCGGAAAATGTATCGCAGATATTTTGTATCTGTCGTGAAATGTATGAAGTGTATTTTGTGTAGGCTTGTTTAGTTGTAAAGACTGATCTAAGCAAAGCAATGAGGTGAAATGAAACACCTCTAGTATAGTTTCCCTGCGATTATTACGTGATGAATATCTCCGCAATTAACACGTACGGTGAAAGAAAAATTTCTTGTTTAATTCAGCCTGAGGATAACATTAAAGGTGACTCTAATCTGACATTACGAAAATGAAATCATTTTTATAAAATTAGATAAAGGTAGGTATTATTGGTATAACTAATAGTGATGAAACGAGACCAAACTCGGAAGGCTGGAAGCTGGTGAGGGTGGGTCTGGTAGACCTGTTCATATGTTTCTGGAACAGATTCAGAATGTATTTTAAAAAGGGCGTGTCGAAAGCACTAGCCTACGAGTGCATGGTGAATATTACTTAACATGTCTTACTTAGGAAGAATATTAAGTAATGTATGTTAAGAAGCAAAAAAATCAGTATTGGCCGTTTTCAGCGTGCGACTCTCATCCCTGAGCTTGTAGGTTCGATCCCCCGCTGTGCACCAATGGACTTTCTGTGTGTGAAGGAAAACATGTGGAAAACAATGTGGTTATCCTGAAAAATAATTAGATAATAAGGATTAGTTTTTATAAATAAATACGAAACAAATACCATTTGAGATGAACGGAAACTCGATTCAAAGAAATCTACTAAACGGAACACGTTTATATAATTTTTAATTAGAATGTATTCCTTTATAGAAATAGAGCGGTTGGAGGTAATAGGAAAATATTTTCCAGCATATGAACTGGACAACTAACGTTTTGACGTTAGTCAAGATTATTTTAGTTTCGTTTGAAATTTCTGCATATTTTAAGGCATTATTGTATCCGCTTTTTAAAGTAATAAATACATTCGTACTAACGGATGAGAAAAAAAATCAATGGGCTACAACCTTTTTAGGTCTGGGCCTCAGATTTCTGTATCTGTTTCATAAACATTTGTTAATCTTATAGGCAAGAAGGTACGATCTCAAGGATGAGAGTTGCACGCTGAATGTGACGGATGTGAAACTGATCTAAAATTATCGTAATTCATGTGCACTAATTCTTTTACATGTGTCCTTTTTTTTAATTTTGTCCTGATCACTGTTTACATATGTTTTAACTGCATTGTTTTGATCCTTTAGTTTTGTCTAAATAACTTAAGTCTTATGTATTTTTGCGCTTCTTGCTTACCTTATCTAATTTCATTTTTTTTCTTACATTGGTAGCCTGGAATATATCGCTCGAAAGCGATAAGGCCGCCAGTTGCCCTCCTTATCCTTTCATTATGTCAACTGTAATATATTTCTGTATACAACAGTATGTAGCGGTAACTGTTTTAAGAGTATTGTTAAGTACTGATTGCTAATCCGCTGTTTTGCTAGTAATATTTATTAGTTAAATATTTTAGAAAAAAATACCTTTTAACATAAACTATAGGTATATCAGTATCTTCGGAACCTTGGTTAAAGGGACTCTGTATGAGGATTATGTATGATGTGGTGTGTTTAATACATAAATAAATCCTTTATCCAATCGTTCTTGACTCCATCAAGCCTTTACCCATAAATGTATGGGTATGTACATAATCTACCTAATACCGAAACAATTCAATAAATTACGAGTCCCGCCCATTGAGACAGTTCTTTTATCAAGCGAAATTTATTATTTTTATAATTATCTGATAAATTATAATGAGGTAACTTATAGAATAATGACTTTAATTTCGAGTTTTTGGATAGTGAAGACGCGTTAACAAACTCTGAAGGGGTCTGGTTAACTTTAATAAGTTTAAGTGGTCGGTAACCAAGACACGAACAGTTGCGTGTCCCGCCAATAACCACTGGTTATACCACTCCCAATTAGATTCCCATTAAATTGCATATATGCAACACGGTGGTAGAATGCAAGTTTAACTGCCCGAACTGAGCTGTAAAGGCTCTTAAGGCCAACAGCGAGTTTAAAAAAAAGGGTACGTGTACTTTTGTACGCACGTAAGAAGTTATACTTCTTTGGCATTATTAAAAATAATTTTTGATTGCATGCAAATAATTAGTTACAATTAAATAATCAAAGACTGGAAAAGGGGTCATTATAGTCAATAAAGTTCAGTTTACATGTGAAAAATTTAATAAATAAATATTTATTATTATTCTCTTACATTAAGTGTAACATAAATTCTATTATTATTCGAATGTTGTTTTTAAATTATATCCAATGCCGTAGCATCTTCCGTGGGCAACTTCATTCTGTTAATATTTTGTGTCACGGTGCGCGCGCATCGTAAAAATTCACTCTCATCAATTTTTCATAACGCGCCCAAAGAAGTATAACTTCAAAAAGTAATTGAGACAATTATCTGTGAACAGGACATAAATCTAAGTCAGTTTGTTTATTAAAACCTAAACATCACAATCAAATATACAGTATTTACTTACAATTTTCTTAACCTACATAGTAAGAATAAAAATAATTAATAAAAAGAAATTTAAACAGTTTGGTCTCTGTGGCAGTGTACCTTTAACGCTGGCAGTAATCGCTGTATTACGATACTTATTCGTTGAGCGTTATTTTATGTATTTGTATATTATATGTATTTTCCATTAAGATCATTATAATTTAAATCCCTCAGATATGTAATTCTCAAATGTTTAATATTGTTTTTGACGTTCAAAGTCTTTACTATCCTGAAGTTAATTCACAATTTCTATAACGATTTTTTTTCTTTCAGATCACATCAGAGAGTTCGCGTGCGGGACGTTGTTTTACCGTTCCTTATACATTAATGAAGAAAGAAACACACTTTATGTTGGTGCTATGTAAGTATTTATGAGTCGTGTCTATCGGTTATATTGGCGGCCATTTTGAACAGATTTTTTAAGGTTATTTATTAAAGTAAGTCCAAAACGAATGAATGATATGTTCTATATTTAAAAACTGTCCTTTTTTCTTCAGAAAAAATTAAGAAAAAAGTAAAAGTGTAAAAGGTGAACTTTTAAAAAAAAAACAAAGTTGTTTACACTTGTATTAAAAAAATATAGAACTTGATTCAGGAGGATTATTCTGTAAAATCGAACGATTTCCAACGATAGCTTAACAGACTGACACAAACGAAGTTCCAGTTATATCTAAACAAATTTACTACTTTAGTAGCACTGGTGTCACGTACTTGGAATCACGTGGTATTAAATTCGATATGGAATAGCTTTTAAAGGTGTATAGTAAGCCTGCAATCCGAAATAGATAGCTTTCATATTGCAATCGTTATAATTTCATATCAAGGACTCGTGGGAAATTAATGTCTTAAACGAATCTTTAAATTAACTTCGTTTCCCGATAATATAACTTTTTAATACAAATTAAAATACATGTTTTGATAACGTTGATCATTTTCCTTGTTAGAGTAACTACATTTATTCTAATAAAAAAATCTTTCGATTTCCGGTTAAACAAAATATAAGTTCGTAAGCATTGTCCTTGAGATTATTACCGGACTTCAAATACTATGGAGAAATATTTTTTTGTTTGTCCTATACCCCGCGGTTTCATTCGTCTTTATATGAGATCCGCCTGCATATGCCTATTAAACGTTCTAGAAAAGTCCAGTAAGTTTGTTTATACTTAAATTTGTTCAATATTTGTGAAGCTATTTATAATATAAATGATCCAAATAAATACGGTATTTAAATTTGACGTAAAGTTGACGTCATTTTAATAAATACCTTAAGGTGCGTACAGACTATATAACATAACATGTTATACAACATTGCTATACAAGATGTTTCAGATAATGTGGACACTGAATGTTATAAAACATGTTATAATAACATGTTATTGATATGTATGCTAGGACGAACCCAGCGTCTACGTTTTTTTGTTTTTCTTTTGTTATTTAAAATGGTTATATAACATTGTTATATTGCATTGTTATTCTAATGTACAGTATTGTTTTATGTTATAATGTTGAATAACAAGGTTGCATAATGTGGACGTGTTATAAAACACAAGTTATATAATATGTTACATAGTCTGTACGCACCCTTAGATATCATAGATTTAAAATAACTACACAAAAAAATTCGTAGATGAGTGTTTTACATTTATGATTAAGGTCTAATATATACTAAAATCGCCTATCAATAAATAAATAATAAGTTAGACGACTGTCATTTTACGAAGTCATTTTTACAGAGAACACTTTAATATTACGTTTTTTAATCTATGGTATTCATGTAATCGTAAAATATTAGATCTGCAATCGATTTCGAACTGACAAAGGTATTTTTAGTTGTCATTTGCAGATCTATATTTTATCTGTATAATGTTCTGTGCTTATAGCTATTGACTGTTGTGATCTGTGCATTCCTGTCATTTGTTATAAGCTTTTAACTCGAAGTAATTTCATAGGGGCCTCATAGCCTAGCGGTCTTAATAAATGCAGCTAGGTGAACGGTCCCAGTGTTGAATCCCTGTAGAGGGCAAGTTTTAAATTTAATTTAAATTTGTTCAACGGCCTTTCTTAAGGGTAGTGAGCGACCGGGCGAGTGCCTAAACCTACATGGAGGACCATGGTCGAATTTCTAAGGCAAAAAGCACGAATTATAAAAATCTTATACATTGACGCTGGCTAATGCTACCAAACCTGCCAGAGCCATTAAAAAAAGTAATTTTCCATTTGTCATATCTCTTGTCTGTTTGTCATATTTACATAATACATAAATTGAACATACAAGTGTTGAACCTCATGTCTGTTTAGTACTTGTTATGGTTGAAAATAGAGCTGTCTTAATAGAGACAACACGACGAACAAAATGAACGAACGAAAGAAAACAATTATTTTAAATAATTTTATCCAAAAATTATTGTTTTTAATACTTTAGTAAGTTCTCATTAATTTTTATTTGCGTAAAACTTTGCTATGAATTAAGTCAATTGATATTTATTGTTTCAGGGATCGAATATTTAAGTTAAATTTGACAGATATAAGTCAATCACATTGTGAGGTAAGTTTTATTAATTTTGAATTGAGTTAGGTGTTTCAACCCTTAGTCTGGGCGTCGGAATTCTGTATCTATTTCGTGATAATTTGCTCTTTCTAATAGGCAAGTAGGATCAGCATTCTGTGCCTGAAACGTAGATTTTTGGGTCTAAGTCTTGCCGGTTTTCTCACGATGTTCTTCACCATACTAGCGGGTATGAACTGCGCAATTAGAAAGTCCATTGGTGCATAGACCCGATTCGAACGCACGACCGTGGTTGAGAGTCGCTCACTCAACCACGGGCTCAGTCCACTAAGCCAATGCTCTTTGTATAGATATAAAAATAGTGTTCTTTTATATACATTATACAAGTATTAATTTAAAAAAAAAGTTTAACAAATTTTTTTTAATATATTGTCCGGAAAAAAACGTTGCTAGAGCTTTAGTGACGGGACCATGACTTCCGTACGTCAAAATCCTCAACAATTTTAAGTCGAACTTAGCGCTAATACTCTTAGATACCTTATGTTATTTTTTAGAAACCCAATTTTTGTCACGCTCATTTAACTATAAATTAATAAGGACATCTAATAGAAATGGAATATTAAATAAGACAAGAATACACGTACTGTAACGATTTATATGATTTCAGCGAGACGCTCTATTATTAGAGGCAAGTAATGTAGCTCGCTGTGTAAGCAAAGGAAAATCAGAGCCATTTGAATGTAGAAACCACATACGAGTATTGCAGCCTCTTGGTGATGGAGAAAGGTTGTACGTGTGCGGTACAAACGCTCATAGCCCCAAAGATTGGGTGGTTTACGTAAGTATTGAGTTCGAAATTTAAAATTCGTTAGTCGTTGAAAAGACAGTTACGTAACATTTAACTAAAATTAAACAATCTTATGTTATCATTAGCAAGATGTTTATTAGCCCGCCATTCGGAAAAAATCAGTTATGTTTATTTTCGAATTTCGAAAACTGTGACAGATATTGTTATTGCAATAGAAACGGAATCAAATGTGTTGTAAATCTATGGTTACACAGATTAGTGAAGTGACAGGCACAGATTAGATTTTATATAAATATTCGACTTATATACATTATTCGATTTGAGGAATTACGGGCAATGTTTCTTTACTTGTATTGATAATATCATAGTAGCTACTTTACGTCAATTACAGATTATGTTCGTGTACATTTTAGTTTGTTAATAGGGGGGGCCACGCCATGGCACTTTTTGTGGTTATCAAACTCGTTTGGTTATGGCCGAACAAATTCTTTGTAGAATTATTTATCAAAGTGAAATATAATTCTACAAAGAAATTTAAACTACAAAATTGCTATGCGGGCTTTGTGCCGTGCGTAATCTGATATTTTTTTAATTATTTTTTTATCTATATTGGAATAGACTATTCAAATAACTATGCGTTATATTTTTATAAAGGATGAAGTCGTCATTTAGTCTACGTTCTTTGACTTAAATTACTTCCCGTCAACAGAAAACTACAGCTACTACAACCTTTTAGGTCTTTGCCTCAGATTTCTGTTTCGTGATAAAAAAATATATTAGACAATAAGGTGATCAACGGTTTTCCCCACAATGTTTTCCTTCACTATACGCGTGTTAGTTGCGCACATAAAAGTCCATTGATGCCCAGCCGTGATTCGAATTCACGATCTCAGGGTTGAAAGGCGCACGTTGAAGCCACTGCTTTACAGATATATAACACAGCCGAGTTATAAAAAACGAAAGTCTATTAGTTCATGTGCCAAATTGCATTCGGTTACGTCAATATGAGATTATGTTCTGCACAGTTAAATCTAACGCACCTGCCCCGGCACGAATATGTGCCAGGAGTCGGACTTGGCGTGGCCAAGTGCCCCTATGACCCGGCTGACAACAGTACCGCAGTGTGGGTCAATCGGGGCAACCCTGGTGGCCTGCCAGCGCTGTACGCCGGAACGAACGCCGAGTTCACTAAAGCGGATCCGGTCATATTCCGGAACGACCTATTCGATTTACGAACGGGTCAAAAGAGGTTCAATTTTAAACGGACGTTGAAGTACGACTCGAAATGGTTGGATAGTGAGTATATATTAGATTTTAGAGTTTAGACACGATTTTTTTTGGGTTGATATCAAGGCGAATGCTTAGGGGCACAGCTAATAAAGCTTCACAGTAATTACGCCATCGCTTTGTAGTACACGTTAGGACATTTAGAACACGATTGCCTATCTAAATTTCCAATTTATTTCAGAAACCAATTTTGTGGGTTCGTTCGATGTTGGGGAGTACGTTTTGTTCTTTTTTCGGGAAACCGCCGTTGAGTTCATGAACTGTGGCAAAGCTGTTTACTCTCGAGTGGCGAGGGTGTGCAAACAAGACACGGGTGGGAAGCATATACTGAGCCAGAATTGGGCCACTTATTTGAAAGCCAGACTGAACTGCAGCATACCTGGAGAGTTTCCCTTCTACTTTGATGAGATACGTAAGTTTGAACTACAAAAATATAACTTTTAAAGTTCGCTAAAGGAGTTTACAGCTTTGCTCGAACGCTACATTGTTTTAAATTGAATTTTCTTATTGCTATAAAAGCAACTTACTATGTATCAGTGCTAAAGGATTTGTTACGCGACTGTACTGTTAATACTTACAGTACGTATTTATTATTTTAAATAAACGTTTATAAGCATTTATTTGTTGCGGATATCGCCTATCGAAATTCCATGGACTTGGTGTGCTAATTATTTGCTATAATTATCTTCCTTATTCCTACAAATATGTATTTATATTGTCTATTCGCGAGTTTCGTAACTCGTAAGTAACGGGTGGCGCAAAAGTAATGGCACTAAAGAAAATTTGTTTATTTTTTTTATATGACGATAGTTTTCTTTTTGTTGTTGAAAATTGTGTAGTGAACAAATGTAAAATACACTGAAAATAAACATGGACCGTTTTCTCCCCAAGAACGTGGAATAATCGTGTCAAGTTCACGGAATATTCATCAGTGATAAAAACACAACGTGAATTTCGTCGACGATTTCCTGCAAGATCACCCAATCTGACGAGTCCAGACTTCTTTCTTTGGGTTTTTTTGAAATCTCGGGTGTATGTGAACAAGCCAAAGACTCTCGCAGCTCTAACAGAAAACATTCATCAAGAAATAAGGAACATATCGCAGGAAGTATTACGGCAAGTTTTGCAAAATGTCATAAATAGGGCTCAAACGTGCATCAACTCTGGAGGTCACCATTTAAAAGACATCATTTTAAATCATAATGGTACGAAATTTAATGGCACAAATATACATTTAAAAAAACCTAAATCTAGTTTTCTAATTTAGAAAAAATGTTATAGCTGAACCAAATAGGGTCTTTACTTTTGCGCCACCCAGTATGTGCATACACGTTACACGTGTTCTTTAATCTGTTAAAACTCTTTTGATTAACGTCATTTTCCAACTTCCAACAGTCCATGTTTGGTCAAAATCGGCGTAGTTTTGAAAACTATTATTTGTAATATTTTTATTATAATTAATGTTCACCGTAATTGTTATATATTTTATAATAAATTGTAACATACTGTTGAAAATGTATTATATATGATATGGTGTACTTTAATAAATAAGTAGTTTTTGAGTTATGACTCGCAAATGCGTTGCCGGCCTTTGAAAACGATTTAATTTTTCAAAATAAGTTTTATTTTGTTCTACATCTACATATGTAACATCAATTACTTCCTTAACAGTATGTTTAGTCCAAAAATACCCTTTTCTAGAAAGCGTTTATCAGATGCCAGGTGATAGTAGTAAATTCTACGCGGCGTTCACTACCGGCGCAAGCGACGGTCTTGTTGGATCAGCCATCTGCACATTTACGATGGAAGACATACAGGAAGCCTTCGCTGGAAGGTTCAAAGAACAGGTAATCCTAAAATGTTAAGTGACTTGCAGTATTTGTGACAATATTTACGGCAATGGTAGCCGTTTATAGTGTTTTTTTATAGAATAGGGGCAGGGGCAAATGGGCAGGAGGCTCATCTGATGCTAAGTGATACTGCCGCCCATAGACACTCATGGCAGAGGGCTCACGAAGGCGTTGCCTTTAAAGAGTTGGTACGCTCTTTCCTTCAAGGAGGTCGTATTTTCGTAAATACCTCGACGCTATTTTATGAAATGCCGTCTATGATACCTTTGTGTCGAAGACGGTTTCAGCCATATATTCATAAAAAAGAAAATCAGTGGTGCTACAATCACTTTAGGTCTTGGCCTCTGATTTCTGAATCTGTTTCATGGTCATTTTTAAATCTAATAGGCAAGTAGGTGATCAGCCTCCAGTGCCTGACACGCGCCGTCGACTTTTTGGGTCTAAGACGTTGTTCCTCACGATGCTTTTCTTCACCGTTCGAGCAAATGTTAAATGCTGAAAAAGAAAGTCCATTGGTGCACAGCCGGGGATCGAACCTACGACCTCAGGTATGACAGTCGCAGGCTGAAGCTACTAGCCCAAAAAAATATATTAATTAATAACTAAAAAAACGTAGAATTACATATATTATCATATAATTTTAACCGTATTAATTCAAAATTTCATCAGCACCACCTTGATTGCTGAAAGTCTGCCAATCCCGAATCGACTCCCGGTGGTGGTCTTCCATGAGATACGACCTCCAATTGTTTATAGAGAGGCAACGCCGGCTAATTAAGCCAGCCTAACTCCATTCAGACCCTCAGAAGTTTCTTGGGCACTTCGCAGGCTTCACAAAGCCACCTCACTGCTCCGTGGATTTCTGTTCGTTGGGAAGCCACAGTACAAGAGACTGTCTGTCGCGCCTAGGACACAGAGATGCTTATTAAGGAGATATTTATATGTTACTAGCTGATCCGTCAAACGTCGCGTCGTTTTGCCATGTTTATCATTTATATTAAAAAATAGGGGTTGATCGTAGAGCGGTGAAAATTAGGGGTTGTATGTATTTTTTAATGCTGTATCATAAAATAATAAAAAAATATTTTTTTATCTAAAAATGAAAAAAAAATTTGGGGTGGACTACCCTTAACATTTAGGGGGATGAAAAATAGATGTTGTCCGACTCTCAGTTATACCCAATATGCACACAAAATTTCATGAGAATCGGTCAAGCCGGAGGAGGAGGAGGAGTTTAACCACAAACACCGCGACACGAGAATTTTATATATTAGGTCCTTACATATGAAATTGGCCATATGAACCATTGTTTTCTATGCACTTTTGCCATCTCATAGGTAGTTCATTGATCCCTTTACTAAAAAAACCAGTCGGACGGGAATTTTTGGCGTCGGGACGTGACGACCCCATCGCCCACTGGTGAAATAACCTGTGACAGAGGTTATTTCATCAGCGCAATCAGTCAACCCCTTCCTAGTGGGAGTGCCATGCTGTTGCCTTCGGGCTTCAGCCAAATGGGCAGGCACGACCGGGGCAGTACCACTGTCTCTTAGAAAACCGGCGTGAAGTGAGGCAATAGGTTCGCCTTATTGTACTCGCGTTTCGTACGGTGAGGGAGACTCCCAGAGCCCATAAAATATGAAATATGAAGGTGCAGAACAAACAGAATCTACCCCAGGGGGGTACCACACGCGAACGCGGTGGAGAATCCCCCTCTGAGCGTCCAACACCGGGACACTCAGCACCCGGTGGTGGACGCACAGGCTGCCCTTCGTATTCTGGGGGGGGCAATTCTGCGCTCAACAAAAACAGTTATCGTTCTCGGGGCAAACGGAGCAATTCAACAAAGGCACCCCCGTCACGCTCGCCGTGGACTTCACAAATGTTAGGGGGCTCAATTCCAATATCAACGCAGTCCACTACCATTTAGAGACTGCGAAGCCGGCCTTGCTCTTTCTTCTATAGACTAATACTCAGATTTCCTCCCCGGCTGATACTTCCTACCTCTCCTACCCGGGGTACAAATTGGAACATTCATTTGTGCCGCGGGCGGGAGTTTGCGTGTACGTCAGAGAGGATATCTGTTCTCGTCGCCTCGGGACGCTTGAAGGAAGGGACCTATCTAACCTCTGGCTGCGCGTTGACTGCGATGACCATCCGCGATTCTACGCATGCCTGTATAGGTCCCATAGCGGAAATACCGAAACTGACCGACTCATTGAGCACATCCAAATGGCTACAGATTCCCTGCTCGAAAGGGTTCCTACCGCTGAAATCGTGATACTTGGCGATTTTAACGCCCACCATGCCAATTGGCTCGGCTCTGAAACCACCGATCACGCGGGAAGATCCTTTCACGACTTTGCTTTAGCCTACGACCTGACACAAATGGTCCCTGCGATTACGCGAATACCAGATGTGGATGGTCATAAACCCTCTTTGTTGGACCTTCTGCTGACTTCACATCCGGAGAACTATCAAGTCTCTGTTGACCCGCCATTGGGTTCATCGGATCATTGTGGTGTCCGGAGTACTGTGCCATCTACGCGCCCTTCACGGCCCCGCTTTATGGGTTGTCGCCGTATTTGGCACTATAAGTCAGCAGATTGGGACGGGATGCGGTCTTTCTTTGCGTCCTACCCTTGGGGGCCTATGTGCTTTTCGCCGGAAGCTCCAGATTCCGTCGCCGCCTCTGTCGCCGAAGTGGTTCTGCAGGGCATGGAACTCTTAATTCCATTTTCTGCGGTGCCGATCGGGCAAGTCTCAGCCCTGGTTTAAACGTTCTTGCAAGGCGGCCTCGCGTCGAAAGCGAGAATGCTTTAAGGCATGGGCGGAAGCGGCGAAATCTCGTGATGCCAATACCAGCGAACTTAAAACAACATATAACTCAGCCTCCAGGTTCTTCAAACGGGAAATCACTAAGGCAAAGTCAGAGCACATTGCCAGATTTGGCGAGAGATTGGCCCAGCTCCTTCAGGGACTCGAGCCTTCTGGTCTCTCGCCAAAGCTGTCCAAGGGAATTTTTGTCAGCCCGCCATTCCGCCACTGCACAGGGAGGATGACTCTCAGGCCCACACTGGAAGGAGAAGGCCGACCTTTTGGGCTGTCTCTTCGCGTCCAACTCGACTTTGGATGACCAAGGAAGATCACCACCGACCATTTCGCGGTGTGATTCTTCGATGCCGGAAATCACATTCCGGCAACGTGCTGTCCGCAAAGCACTATCTTCCTTGGACATTCATAAGTCGAGCGGGCCGGATGGTATCCCCCCAATTGTGCTGCGTACTTGTGCTCCTGAGTTGGCTCCGGTCTTAACGCGCCTTTTCCGGTACCTGTACTCGCTCGGCACTGTCCCGAAGTGCTGGAAGACCGCTTCGATACATCCGATCCCTAAAAAAGGCGATCGCTCTGATCCGTCCAACTATCGCCCAATAGCTATAACCTCCTTGTTCTCCAAAATAATGGAAACCATTATTAATTGCCAGCTCTTGTGGTATCTAGAGGGCCACCAGTTGATTAGCGATTCTCAGTACGGCTTTCGTCGTGGTCGCTCAGCTGGTGACCTCCTTGTATACCTTACCCATAGGTGGACAGAGGCAATTGAGTCCAAGGGGGAGGCGCTGGCGGTAAGTTTGGACATAGCGAAAGCCTTCGATCGGGTGTGGCACAGAGCACTGCTCTCGAAGCTTCCAGCCTATGGGCTTCCCGAGAAATTTGCGATTGGATCTCCAGCTTTCTGGCCGATCGGAGCATCAAGGTCGTCATCGACGGAGCATGTTCCGACCTTAAACCTGTGAACGCTGGGGTCCCACAAGGCTGTGTTCTATCCCCGACCCTATTTCTTTTGCATATCAATGATATGTTGCAACTTAGCAACATTCATTGCTATGCGGATGAGTACCGGAACAAACTTGTGTCTGTAGTCGAAACTCTACTACGTGGAGTCTCAGACTGGGGCAGACAAAACCTAGTCCAATTTAACCCCAAGAAGACACAAGTTTGCGCATTTTCCGCTAAAAAATCACCCTTTGTCGCTACTCCTCTTTTCGAAAACACTCTTCTTAAAGCCACAGCCAGCATTGGAATACTTGGCGTTGACATATCGAACGACGTTCAGTTTCGCGGTCACTTGGAGGGAAAGGCTAAATTAGCCTCCAAAAAGCTTGGTGTGCTCAGCAAGGCGAGGCGGTACTTCACTCCGGGCCACCGCATGCAACTATATAAAGCGCAAATTCGGCCCCACATGGAGTACTGCTCTCACCTCTGGGCGGGGGCTCCCCAGTACCAGCTCCTTCCACTTGACCGTATACAACGCAGAGCGGTTCGAATCGTCGACGACCAATCCCTCTCCGAGCGGCTTGATCCTTTGGCGTTGCGTAGAGATGTGGGGTCACTCTGCATCTTCTACCGCATTTACCATGGAGAGTGTTCAGAGGAGTTGTTCGGATTAATACCTGCAGCTAAGTTTCATCATCGGACGTCGAGACAGAATACGAAATTCCACCCGTATCACCTCGACGTCCGCCGTTTCACAACTGAGCGTTTTTCAAGGCAGTTTTTGCCGCGCACCACCACTATGTGGAATCAGCTGCCCACTGAAGTATTTCCGAACCAATTCGACTTAGGGTCCTTCAAGAAAAGAGCGTACCAATTCTTAAAAGGCCGGCAACGCACTCGCGAGCCCTCTGGCATTGAGAGTGTCCATGGGCGGCGGTGTCACTTAACATCAGGTGAGCCTCCTGCCCGTTTGCCCCCGTTCTATAAAAAAAAAAAAAAAATCAATAAAATCTGTGAAGGCGATTTGGACTGACCCATCAGAGTTAAATTTTTTCCCTTGCAAGAAGTTGTCCAAATTTCGAAAAAAAGGATAATCTGTTGGAGCAAGGTCCGGGGAGTACGGAGGATGCCTTAGACATTCCAATTGAAGCTCTTCTAATTTGGTAGCCGTCTGTTGTGCAGTGTGTGGTCTAGCGTTGTCGTGAAGTAGCAGTGGCGTGGAGCGATTGACCAGCCTAGGTTGTTTAGCCGCTAGTTTTTCCATCATGGTTTGCAATTGCTGACAATAGACATCAGCCGTAATAGTCTGGCCAGATTTGAGAAAACTGCAATGAACAATACCGGCACTAGTCCACCAAACGCTTACAAGTAACTTTTTTGGGGTTAATTTTCGCTTGGGGCAGGATTAGGCTGGCTGGGCAGGATCCAATCATTGCGCTGAGCGCTTCCGATTATCGTAAAGAATCCATTTTTCATCACAGGTAATGATCCGGTTTAAAATACCTTCATTATTGTGCCGGTTCAGTAATGTAACGCAGCAGTCGACGCGCGTTTGCCGGTTTGCTTCAGTCAATTCGTGAGGTACCCATCTTTCAAGCTTTTTAATCTTCCCAATTTACTTCAAGTGAATTAAAACAGTTTTATCACTAACACCGCAGCCTGCAGCTAACTCGGACGTGATTTGCGATGGATCCGCTTCCACAATAGCCTTCAATACTTCATTATCAACTTGGGTGTCAGGCCGTCCACGGGGCTTGTTCTGCAGGTCGAAATTTCCAGAACGGAAACGTTGAAACCAAAAACGAACTGTGTTTTCTTTTGCAACATGACCGCCATACACATCATTCACCCTACGAGTCATTTCCGCAACACTAGTGCCACGGCGGAACTCGTACTCGTAAATAATGCGATACTTTAAGTTTTCCATTTTGTATAATGAGTGACGCAAACAGAAAAAAACAGAAGAAAAAAAACAAATGAATGACGGTCATCGAAGCACAAATACATGAGTAAATAGCTGTACAAATTTGAATTTGGAATTCCTTACCAAAGAGGAGAACATCTTGATTAAAGTGGCCAGTACGAAATACGCCAATTTCATATGTAAGGACCTAATATTAGATATACTCCTTAATCTGCTTTAATACTGCTCCTCTTTGCTCGCAACTGCAATAGCAGCGTCATGATCATGTCCTCTTCCACAGGATGAAGTGTAAGTGAAACTAAATATATAGTAATTCCTTCACAGGCCACATCAAGCTCGGCGTGGTTGCCTGTGCTCCGCGCCCGTGTGCCGGAACCACGTCCAGGCACGTGTGTCAACAATACCGAGGCGTTGCCCGATAACGTGCTCAATTTTATCAGGTATCTCCCTCGTTACTGCCTTATCTGTGGAATTTATTAATAGGTAGGGATTTCAGAGTCGTGCATATTTCTTATAAAATTAGTTTAGGGGTGATTTTTTTTTTCATTTGATAATAAATTAATTTCGAGATTAACTATTAAAAAGATATCCTATAATTGTTTATATAAAGCCGCTATATCGTAAGTTGCATTTCGATCGTGAATTTATTAGAATAAATATTTATAACAAACATAATAAATTATTTTAACCAACGGAATAATAATATATTATATAATTCTATAGTGGTAATAAAACCCTAAATGACTTGGCCTACGAAAAGAGAGACTTCCGCCGCTCCCTGTCCTGTTTCAATTACCGTTCACCTGGAATCACTTCTTACAAGGCGCCCATTGCACGCAGTGACTTTTTTGTAATTGCATTTTTAATTAAAGCAATGTTTAGTATGTATTTTCTCAAAGATTATTTCACGTTAATTCATAAATATCTTTTTAATAAACCGACTCCAAAATGGACTAAAAAGTAGTACTAAAGCATTATTTATAGTCTAGCCATATAGTCTGGCTATAAATACAGTTACATAAAAACTTCTTTTTCCATTTTTTATTTTTTTGAATTTGGAACACGGATATTATTTTAAAAAATTTCTCGATTTTTTCATTTGTAACAGAACTTATGGCTGGACTAGGTACAATATCAAGATCTTACTAAGATAATGATAATATATACTTAAATCATTTAAATTGCAAATTACTAAAGAAATTCATTATCAGAAATTTACTTTCAAAGCGAAACCAAATAGCTAGTCTAATCTTAAGGTATATGACACGAGATTTGGCGCGTGTGTTCCCGTAATTGGGTCACCGCGAATCACACGCCCGACTTTAATTGACAGCCACTGAATTAGTTCGATTTATTGCTTTTCTAATGAATTAATCGCATTGAGGCGTCCCTGACTTACTTGACTTAATGTATAACCCCTAGATGGGGCAGAGAGCGTCCACAGTGAGTCTCCATTCCCAATATAAAAATCCGTTCGGTGGATTGTTGCGTTCCTACACGGGGACATTTTACAATGTCGATAATGAAGAATTTGTCACCAGGTCTCACCCACTAATGGACTCTGCCGTGAGACACGAGGGTGATGCCCCAGCTTTCTACAAGCGAGATCTTGTCCTGACTACACTGGTGGTGGATCGGCAGACAGTTGACATGCTAGCCCAGGATATCACTTATACTGTATTCTATGCGGGGACTAGTAAGTAGCTAAACTTCAAGGCATGACAAGCGCTATTAACTGACTGAACTGTGGTGTATAATGGTCTCAATTGTGTAATCCATGTTGTACAATTTGGACCTGTCTAAGTTTTCTTTTCTATTCACACACACATTCACACACACACTCACACACACTCATGCAATTTTATTTCTACTAACTTCTAACTAAGTAATCTAGTTGACTGTTTTGTTTTGTTTTATTTTTCTTTTTTAAAACTTTAAATTTAAACCTGTACTTTGTTTTCACTCAGTATGACTTTGCTGTGTAATGGAAGCCTGGTTATCCATATTAATTACTACAAATAAATTCTCAAAAGATGACTAAACTACGTATTTGTTTACTGCCTTATCTAACTTGGGGCCAAGGGACCTATCGGTACAGAAACAGACAACAGAATGGAGTACTACAAACTAAACAACATTTGTAAAACTGAAGTCCAATTACACAGAATTTCAGTGGCATTATCAATATTTTATACATTATTACATACATAATACATATATTAAATTTAATGACATAAAATAGAAGTAGAGAAAGTGTGATACTTTTTGACATCCAACACCTTTTGTCTTCAGTCACCGTGACCACGCACGCTGTAAAGCACGCGAAACGTCGGATAAATTTAAAATTATGTTAAATAATTGTAAATTTATAATAATACATAACTTTCATACGGTAAAAAAGTTTTTTCTTTAAATGTGTAAAGGTTATGTTAATCACAGACAATACTATAAAATAGAAGTCTTATTATTATATTTGCTAAAAATCTTAAGATTACATAATCTAACTTAGTAAAACATTTACTTCTCGTGGTTCTGAGAGCACAATAGTGTATAACTTCTTATTTGGTTGGCTTTAAACGTACATTGTTTAAAGAGTTGAATGAACGCGATTCGATAAAGTTCGATAAAGTCTGAATGACGAAACCCAAGGTTGGAAATTTTCTAAATTTAATTCAGGGTTTGGGACTACAATTTTATTTTGAACAATAACGATGTGAGCCGTGTTGGCCTAGTGGCTTCAGCGTGCGACTCTCATCCCTGTGGTCGATCCCCGGCTGTGCACCAATGGACTTTCTTTCTATGTGCGCATTTTACATTCGCTCGAACGGTGAAGGAAAACATCGTGAGGAAACCGGCTTGCCTTAGACTTTAAAAGTCGACGGCGTGTGTCAGGAGGCTGATGACCTACTTGCCGATTAGATTAACAAATGATCATGAAACAGAAACAGAAATCTGAGGCCCGGACCTAAAAAAGTTGTAGCGCCACTGATCTATTTTTTTATAGCGATGTGAGCACTATTAATCTTTTTTACATCAATTAACCCGGAATGTACCGGGGAAAATAAAATCTGAAAATCCAGTATGCATTGTATGTAAAACAATTTTTTTTTTAAATAACCATAAGTTTTTTAAAGCAGTGTTAAATGACCACCGCCCATGTATGTATACCTCTGAACTCTTAGAATTAAATAGTTTTTGAACATTTTTCTCATGTCGAATACTTGTTTAAATATTTTGAGACACAAGATGGCTAATATGTATGATTGAGGCATTGGTAGTAAATAAAATAACAATTTTTTTAAATCGTTGTGACGTTAAATGCCACTCCACCTTCTTCTATCTAGAATACAGAAGAGAGAATATAGAATCACTCTCTCTACAAGCGTGTACCTCTGATGATGGTAAACTCTGTATTCATACTAGATTATTGTTAAGGTGCTGGTGAAGTGTATAAGATCGTTCAGTGGGCTGGAGGCGGATCCCGCGTGGCAGATATATGGCGAGCGGCGGGCGATGAACCCGTCCGTGCGCTTGCGCTGTCGAGGCTCACCCATGCCCTCTACTTGGCTACAGACAACAGATTACGTCAGCTACCTTTACATGCGTGTGCGCATCGGTATGTATACTTGCTTATTTAGTGGCTTTATGAACCATTAACACTAGAAGTATCTACAAACAAATAAGTTTTCTCTGGCAGAGGCCGTTGTTTGGTTCTAATAAGTCGATTTCTTTAGAAATGTCAAGGGTTAGTTGCGTACACATAAAGATAAGTTTATCAAAGTCAAGATTTGAATGTATCACCTTACAGCCCGTTCCCACTAGTCGTAAGTCGCATAAGACTAAAAGTCGAATGCTCTGGTCACCATACACTTTATATGGAGCTGTTCACATTAGATGAGACGCGACTTTTAGTCTAATACGACTCAAAAAACCATCCGACGGGCCAGCGCCCGTTTTAAGACTAAAAGTCGCGTCGAATCGTGCTCGCATAGGTGCCTGCTTGTTGCTGTTCACACTAGTCGTGCGTCTAATCGACTCGAGCGCGTTGTTACCTCTCTCCCCGCCCCGCTTCCTAGATCGCTACACATTGCTTGCTCACTCCATTCGTGTTTTATTCCGAATGGCGCGAAACTACGACCTATACGACTCGCGACGCAGTGTGAACAGAGACATCAGACTTTCGACTTTTAGTCTTATGCGACTTACGACTAGTGGGAACGGGCTGTTACTGTTGACGACCACGTACAAGGCTACACACAACACTACTATTCACCTTATAGCAGTCTCGGCAGGTGAACTGTCATTAAAACGTCAAAGTTAAAAAACGTATACGTTATTATTTAGGTAACAATACAGAAACAAAACGAAAAGAAATTATATTTTATTTAACTAATAATTCACAGCGTTTAGAAAGGGTAATATTTATGATTTTGAAATTAAAAATATAGTCAATTTACTAATCATTTGCTTGTTTAGATGTGTGTGGGAATGTGCAATATGTGGGGGTATACGTTTGTGTGTGCATTTAAAGGTGATCTAAAAATTGCTTTGCTTATTTCCTTCGAATAAAAAGGCGTTTGATAATAGATGCTATCAAGTTTGACTATGACTTGACGTTCTAGTGGCGGCGCCATCATCTATTTCTGTTATTTTAACGACAATAACACTGATAATTTGAACGACGCTTCAAAAAATTTACATTCAAAATTATATCCTTGTTTTAAAATTAACTTATACTTAACTGGCTGTATGTCTTAAGTCACGAGTAAAGCTAAATAGTAAGTAGTAAGCTAAATACAAAATGGTTTAAAATAGACAATAGTTTATTTGACGGCTATTAAAAGCAATCAAATAATGCTTCAAAAAGCGTTATAAGTTAAAAAATAATCTTTAAGAACATAAATATATCTGAGTATTAGAAAAGTTAAAAAACTGGAATACTTAACAGAAATAAAAATATTGGTAGGTTATTACTTATAGATAATGTGAAATGGTTTAAATGATGATTTGAAAATCAAATACACTCGGTAAGTAATACTTGTAAACCACATTTTAAATTGTACGAAAATATTTGGTTTGTTTCGCTACAATGACTTATTACTTAATCACAATAAATTTATGGAAGTTATTTAAAACATATTGTTTTCTGACAGTTGACAATCGCAGTTTTCAACTCTATCTAGACAAAGATACTCAAATAGTACGTTTATGAATCATTGTGTTTGTGATGAGTAACATGGATATAGCTTTCTGTTTATGGCAATGAGATTGCGAAAGTGTCTTCATTAATCTACTGTATTTAATGTGTTCTTTTTACGCAACACCGCATCAACTCGATGTCCGTTGTACCACAACTAAGCGTTTTAAGGCAGTTTTTGCCGCGCACCACAACTGTGGAACCAGGTGCCCACTGAAGTATTTCCGAACCAATTCGACTTAACGTCCTTCAAAAAAACAGTGTACTTATTCTTAAAATACCGGCAACGCACTTGCGAGCCTTCTGGCATTGAGATTGTATCACTTAACATCAGGTGAGCCTCCTGCCCGTTCTCATCCTGCTCTATATTTAAAAAATTACTCTTTAAATATTTTGAAATAAATATATATATAAATGTATAGTATTTCTTATGCAGTAACGGCAAGATTCTAAAAAAGTTATAGAATGTTTGAAATCGGTACAGTAGTTTTTGAGTTCATTCGTTACAAACGAAAAAGAAGGAAATACACAAGACTAAACGCGTTTATTCATTTAATTTTTTATAACTCTTCCGACTTTTCGCGTGAAGAGTTTGTTTAAACGGAAAACTTAATTATTAAAAAGTTAAACGGTTGCCTTATCAAAAAATTCCTTCCAGACAATGATAATTATGTTGTTTTTAATTAATTTTAGACAATATATGTAAGCTTTAATTATATAATAAAATTAATATAAATCCTGATTATATACAATATTTATTATAAATTCAATTCCTCCTTCACAATAGGTATGACAGCTGTGTGCGCTGCGTCCTAGATCCGTACTGCGGTTGGGATAAAGAGGTCGGCGCATGTCGGTCCTACACTCCAGGATTACTCCACGACGCTACAAATTCCACCCCATCAATTTGCGAAGCCAGCGCTCCACTGAAGACGGTCAGAGCTGGTTATGGACAGAGCGTGCATCTCGCCGCGTTTGCCAAGACGCCGCAAGTTTTGACTGATCAAATCGTCGCGTGGTACCATCATTCCAGAGAGAGGGGCAGATATAAAATCAGTTATAAGTGAGTATTCAAATACTATTGCTACTTGCAAAAATGGAAAAATTGTGCATATCAGTTACTTCTGCTAATCGGACAACATATATTTTTCATCCCCCTAAATGTTAAGGGTTTTTATAATTTTTTAGATACTGTTTTTTCGTTTTTATATTTTTTAATACAAAAATACATACAACCCTTAACTTTCACCCCTCTACGATTGGTTGTATTGAACTAAAAAAAAAATTCCTAGAAATACTTAATATAAATGGCAAAACAACGTTTGCTGTATTATATAAAAAAAGCCTTTATTCGAGTACTACTAAACCTGAATACCCTTCTCTTGTCTCTTTTCCTCGCGACAATTTTCCAATTCTGCCCCGCTATGCGATATCTCAATTAAGAGACAATTATAATCAAATCTGCAAACGTCAGTTAAGCACTGTGCGAAATGGAATTAGAATTCAAAATAATTTAACTAAAATATAATTGCAATGTAGAAAACGTGTTCCCTAATGTCTGTTTAACTTGAAAATGGAATTACAAAGTGCGACATTACAGTTGGGAGCGAGTTTTGTTGACTTCCGAGCGTGGTTTGGTGCTACTGGCCGTTACAGAATCGGACAGGGGCCGGTATGAATGCTACTTTGGACCTACCCTGGTTGCTTCGTACAATTTGGACATAGATATGCAAAGGTAAAAATAAAAGCTATATAGTGTAAGATATATAGGTTTCAACTCTCATCCCTTAGGTAGGTCCGAACCCTGACTGCACCAATGGAGATCTATCTATATAGACATTTATAAATCGCTCTGACGGTGAAGTCATCGTGGAAGAAGCCGTTCTTAGACTTAAAAAGTTGAAGTCATCGTGAGGAAGCCTTAGACCTTAGGCCTCCTTAGACCTAAAAAGTCGACAGCGTGTGTCAAGCACAGAAGTCTGATATAGGTGATGAGGAGGCTGATCTAAATGATGACGAAACAGATTCAGATATTGCTTTAGTTTTTTGATTTATACAGAAAACACTAATTGTATCCTATATTTGAAGCTACTATGTCTGGTAGTGCCTTATAATTTTTATGATCGGTTAGTGAGTCAGTCAGTGACAAAATTAAAAAATTAATCAGTGGCGCTACAAATACTCTTTAGGTCTTGGCCTCAGATTTCTGAATCTGTTTCATGATCCTTTTTAAATCTAATCGGCAAGTATGTGATCAGCCTCCAGTGCCTGACACACGCCGTCGACTTTTTGGGTTTAAGACATGTCGGTTTCCTCACGATGTTTTCCTTCACCGTTCGAGCAAATGTTTAATGCGCACATAGAAGGAAAGTCCATTGGTGCACAGCCGGGGATCGAACCTACGACCTCAGGTATGAGAGTCGCACGTTGAAGCCACTAGGGCAACACTGCTCTGAGAGTGACAAAATTAACTCCTGATACAAATTGAATGAAATTTGATATATACTGTTTGGTAACTGGGCTAAGGCTCAAATTTAGGCTTCTTGTTTTATCCACAAGGAAGTTATAGGGGGGTTGAAAATGGCCTGAACTGCTTCGATGAAAGGATGGTACGACGCCCTCATGCCGATCATATCAATAACGTAGTTATACAATTAATGATAAATAAAGTTCATAATCTCTTAAATGAAGTCACCATCAAACCTCTACATTACGTGGCAATTAAGGAAATTTTTAATTAATTAATTAATTATTAAATAATTGTACGCAGGTGTACGCAACCAAATAAATCACAGGAGTACAGGCAGGTGTACTCTGATTGGTGTCACGAGTTTGAGAAGTACAAGAGCGCTATGAAAGCGTGGGAGTCACGTCAAATGGTAAGTATTTTACAGCTAGACATCCTTGATACACGCACTGCACTAGTATTCATAACTGAGGTAAATTTGATAAGCGAAATTAATAGTGAGAGATTGTATAGGTCCTGTTTCGGGGTATTTAAAGTTACACACGATAGCAAAAATATACATTTATACTTATTTAGAGAAATTAATGAATTCAAAACTGTCGATTTACATAAATTAATCAATAAAGCTTTTTATACATTTAACGATTATTTAATGATCCTAATGCTTGAGATTGATTTGCTCCAGTTCAAACATTTTGTATGACGCAAAACTTGATGTTTAAAAAGAGTGGCGGAGAGTTTCTTGCCGTTCTACGCCCTGACTTGAACTGGTAGTAAATGTAAATTTAGAATTAATTTAACATAATATTTTCTGTTGACATTCATAAGTGTACTTGGTTACCTATATGAATAAAGTTATTTGTACATAAAATTTACAATAAAATACTACACTCCCAAAATAGAAAACAAAAACAAATTTTACTTTTTACTTAGTAGGTGGTAGAACGATAGATGCTTGGCAACGCTTCATTTAAAATTGATATTTGCTGTTTTTGTGTTTTTAAATTGGAGGATTGAACTAAATACTGTTTCAATTGTATAGTTTTTGACACCATTTTACTCACGAAGGTTTTATTTTCAGCAATGTTCGAAAAGCATGAATTCAAACCAGCAGAATAATATGAGCAACGAGATTGTCGCTTCGCTGCGGTGATATGCATTTATTGCTTATAAATAGTTTTAAGAAAGATTATTGTTACAAAATATGTTATATACAGCTTCTAATACAGAGTAAAAAGGTCCTTTATTCTTTGGACCATTGGTATACACACAATTAATCCGTGAAAATATAATCAGTGACGAAATGAATGCGCTAAAACGATACGCACAAACGAATAATTAAAAAAATGATTTATTGAGCAGCGATAGTGATAGGTATGAACTTGGTTAATCGTTGACAAATGTCTAAAACAAAAGTCAGTGTCACATTGGTGACGGATAAATGATAATTAAAAACGTAATAAACGAAAAGGCGTCATGGCCATCATGTTTTAGAAATTGTTAATTTTTTTCTGATTTTATTTGATTCCAATATAGAGTTTTGGTTCGTGGCTTGGCATATAAAATGTTTAAAATTAAAAATATATTCGCAATAGTATGGTTTGATTCATATGTATGACGTAAGCGCTATTTCATCAAGACCACATGTCTTGTCACAAATCAATGAAAACGATGGCAAAATTCCATGAATTGGGCATTGAATTGCTTCCGCATCTACTGTATTCCCCAGATTTGGCCCCAACTTTTCCTGTTCTCAGACCTCAAGAACTCTCTTGAGGTTCTTCTTCTCGCTAGACAGAAACTTCTCACCGATGAAGCGGTAATTGGCGAAACTGAAGCCTATTTTAAGGCTATCGAAAAATTGTATAGCCGCTATAATGTTTGTATCGACGAAAACTATATTGAATAATCAACTTCTATAAAAAATTTAGCCTACAAATTTTTTAGCTCACCTATGCACTGAAATTGGTCATTCTTTAAATTCCCAATTAAATTACCGAATTAATTTAGTAAATAGTATAATTCTGTTACAAATGAGCGGCTAACGATGTTACGGAAGATAACACAAAATTCCGAATAATCGACAAATATGTTTTGAAATGACTGGTATATTAGCTTACGAAATGACTAGGGGAACATAATTTGGTAACGGAATGATCGAAAATACATTTGTATACAATACGTTCCAGAGACTGACTTTGATGATAGATGGATGTTAATATTACAAATAACATTATTTGTCTATGGAAATGCTAATTTATTTGTTTTACAACAAAATAAACTACCCTCACAGATTACTCCGATGCGGTAACTATTTACTATACATACTCATAGAAAAAAACAACACAAAATTAAACCGTAATAGATTAAAATATTTTCAAAAAAAATACTATTTCTTACCGTATAGAAACTGACGTGAATTGGACCTTTTGTCAGTTCACTCAACGGACAATTAACAACGTCAGGTAATGTATGCAATTCTTTAATTATTTCCATACATTGTGTCATGTGTGTTTCGAGAGGTTATTATAAAATATAAAAAATATAAAATTAGCCTTTATTCAAGTACACTATAACTACACATCCAGGTCATTTATGTTTTCCACTAGTACTCGACCTCCAACTGAGTAGAGGCTTCCTCCAAATTCTTCCACTTGACCCTCTTCTTTGCATCAATTTTCCAATTTTTCCCCATTTTTTCCTTTTATTTCATCTTCCTAAGGTTTTGGTGGGCATCCTCTCTTTTTTCCACTGGGTAATTCCAAGTAAGCACCCTTACTTGAACCTCTTTGACCTATCTGCCATCACAAATGCGGCCAATGTTAACGGCCCATATTATGTAAGAAACATTGTAATAGCGTCTATACACTGCCCTAATCAGTGGCGATATCGGGACAATGGTGGTGGGGATGAAATGCAGCAGACTATAATAAAAAAATATATATATAAAGTTAGGGTACGGTTTGCCTGCACAGGAGGCGATCTAGGCTGCTTCCCCGATATTGCCTCTAATTTTAGGGACTTGTTTTGCTATAACATACGCCATATTGCGACGTCTTAAGAACGAAACATCAACATTAAAGTAGCCTGATAATTTGTTGTACTCATATACATTATGTACATAACACGAATCAAGAAAGACTCTACTATTTGAAATTAATCTAACGTCAAACCAATCTTTCAATATGTCAGACAGCGTGCAATACAATAATTGACAAATGACAATCAAATAACAATTTATAGTTTTTTATAGTTCTTACCGCTAAAAGCGTTTTAACCAACTAGTTTTGACAATGACAGTTGACATCACGACTGTCAAATGGCGCGCTAAATGTCACTGAACTCTGAAGTTACTGAACCGATTTCTGTATTTGTGTGCGACAATACAATGAGCCTTAATTTTACGCTTTTGAAAGTTTATTTCTCCCGTCTAAATATTAATAAATATTCCTGTAAATAGTAAATAATGGTGATAACCACTTAAATGCTGTGATATCAGTTTGCATATAAATTGTTACAATTCGGTTTGGAATTTATGTAAATTAAATCAGGGTTCGATTGTTCGGTCAAGCCAAGGAGAAATGTAACATATTATCGCATGTGCTGCATTGTTACACAGAGAAGCGAACTCTGGACCTTTCGGTTCGTATATATACTATTTTACTTTGACTCTATTTTTGGACTAAAAATCGTTATATACATTTGATGCCCCAACTATGATTTGCCATACAAATCGTGCCTTTATTAATTACACTTGCGAATTTATTAAATAATTTAATCTCATAATAAACAATAACGAACTATAATCTGATTAATATTGAACTTTATACGAATCACAGCTTCATTTATTACATCAGAAATAATTTGGATGATTAAACTTATTTTAAACCAATAAAACTGTATAGTATAAACAGATACAATATATAGACATTCATAGATCGCAGACTACAGATAATAAAACCTATTATCAATGTTCGATACCTGTGCAGTGATTTCAATATCGATACATGACCTCTTCACAACTCTATATTCAAAATTATTATCTACTAAATAGAGTATGTTGAATGACAAATTATTTTCACTGTAATCGAACCCTGATTTTAAACGTACGAAGACCAACAGTGGTACTAGAAATATATAATGTATGTAATAGTATTCGTCCGATCAGCAAGAGCAATATAACCGCCAATTTAGATTTAAGATCTAGATTGTTCAAGCTTTTATCTAGCATTTATGATAAGGAATACTTAATAAGTTTAATTTAAAAGTGCTTAAAACTATTATTTATAAGTTCTAAAATAAGGTATCTATGTTTTGGTTCGTAAATAAATTAGACTCGAGATGTGTCAAATTGTGTGTCACATTTGACAGTGACATAACATTTATCATTGTAGGTTTGGTTAAAAAATTGCATTTGCAACATGCATTCATATAGATTGATAATAGGAATGTCGCTTTCTCAATTCTTTAATTATAAGTAATATTACATTTCCCGCCACTCAAAATCTTGCTGGGAATTACCCTTTAACTAAATAGTACTTGCCGAATAAAACCACTTTTTCTACGGATTATAAAACATGTTCCATCACTGTCAAATGTCTTTGTCACGGTTTGACAGGTATCTGATTTATTACGAATATATTATTTGAATTAAGAATGTAACCTTTTTATTCTAACGAAGCTTAAAAAAGCTATTATTTGTCCTCAGTCACAGGTTAAAAATAAACCATCATTATCTGTTATGACGTTATGAATATAATATTTTGTTGAAAAAGTTGTCGGAATTTGTAATTTTACAGTTTCGGAGTCAAACCGAATTTAATATGGGGCTGATTTGACAACATAAGTAAAAATAAAAAATTTTAGTGAGGTGACAGCTGGCGAATGGATAAATGCCTATATCATGCAAGTAGAAACGCGTAAAAAGTGTCCACAGTCCATACCAACTTGTCTCGATTTAAAAAAAATCAGTAAGTGTTGTACAAGTATCAAAATATGAAGCATGTGTCATGGCTTGTTGACAGCTGACAAATGTTTATTTTAAGGTAATATTTTGACATTTGCGGTATACCTAGCGGATTCAAATGACGTATTATATGCGTTTATAATCTGTGGTCAAATCAGTAAAAATTCATTTTATAAAATTATCTTTTTGTATCTTACTAGTATAGTGCCTTGAAGCATGCTTAATAGAATTAAGATCTAAAATAAAATGAAGCAATAATTTATTAAGTGAATAGAAAATTTAACAGTGTTTAGCAAATATATATTGTTAACTTAGATTATTAAGAAAGTTACGCACTTTCATTGATTGAGTTGCAAATTTAATCACAGTTTTATATGATAAATTAAACTTGCCTTATCACACTTATATTAATTTTAGTAAGCAGTATTACGTGCCCCTTTTACTGTATTTTTGATCTAGACAGAAGAATGTACGGTATAACTATTATAATTCTAAAGCATCTTTATAAGAGAAAGCTATAGACTTTAGTAATACTGACCAGAGTTTACGCTGAAATTTTAAAGCGTACTCAGTGACAAGACTTACCGCTGAATATGACCATGTGTCATGTATTGTATACGGCCATACGTCCTCTAAGTACGCTTTTTAAATTTCAGTTTTAGCATTTATAATTAGAATTAAACAGATGATTGTGATTGGTCCAGAACTTGACCAATCATAAACAAACTAGCTATCTGCTGTTTGCATTTATAGTCCTTCACCTGTTAATCGTAAAAATCCTGACCAAATATCATAAAAATAAATCCTTCTTTGGTGAAGTTTGGTGCAAAATCACGTTTTGTTTTAATTTATTGAGAAGGGTCATAATGCAACATTTCTTTTATGAATAAAATTCTTTAAATCTGAATTTAATAATTAATTATTCAATATCCTTAAAAATTGATTATCTTGCCTATTTCTGAATTATTCGTTAACTAATCGTTAAATGTGTTAGTTTCACCAGATGTATTGATATACCTTTCGTTTAATGGACGACTCTGAGGCTAAAAAAATCGTAGCCCCCATAAAAACTACATATTTATAACACTCAATAACTATTGTGTCGTTTCTTTCTGTCATATTGAGTTTACGCTGTGAGAAAAGAAGACGCTACGGTGTAATTCCACAGATTCTTTGGGGGATTTAAT